CTCTAATTTAAACAAGATATTGGGTAGATAATCAACGCATTCATATGGTGAATATGACACTTGATTTCCCGAGTCTTTTTGGTCTAATTGTGCTTGCCCTCAGTTCCTCATTTCAGCTGCAGGAAGTAAGTAGGCATCCATTAAGCTGCAAACATCAACCTGCAACACTGTTTAACAGCTTATGTCAGGCAAAGTGGTTAAACACTCTTCTGAAAGTTTAAAAGGGCTATATCGAGATTGCACTTAAAGTTGTGTGAAGGATTTAGAAATCTTCACAGTTGTCCAAAATCGGTGGAGTCGTTTTAGAAAGCAGCCTTTGCGTGTCACACTAAGTGCCACCTTCGCGCAATTGCTTGCTCGTCGATGTTTCCGTTTCCCACAAATAGAAATGCAGCCTCCTTTCGAGTCAGAGTTGTGCAAAATATCATTTCATTTCATGCTTCTGTCATTGCTACATTCACCTTGATACCGCTGTGTTCCGAAGTCTAGGTCTTCTCTGTTCTGTGCAATGTTATGCCCGATCTAATCCATATGCGTTGAGGTAATTGTTATACTGTCATGTCTGGTACTGCTTCTTGTGAGATTTTTCAATGAAGTGACACCGAGGAAAAAAACGATGATGCAAGTAGATGCAATGATGTAATGAGTCGAAACGCATTTGTCCAAATGGTAGTGCTAAGAAGGAGATCAATTCGAGCTTTAGGTCAGCAATCGATTCTGCGAAGAAGTATGCGTTCATGATCGGCGCATAACCAAGAGTGAAGTTGTCTGTAAAAACTGCAAGTACAGTCATTTACTAACGTTTTTAACTTTAAGAAATAGAGCCGTGCTAACATCCATGATAGACAAAAGGAGAATAGCCAAGCACTTCTTTAAATAGATAGACGTAGCAGGAATAATCAACAAAAAAGCAAATTTATACACTCTTAAATTGATGAGGAATGATCCGGTTGATTTAAAAACAAAATTATCTAGTGTTTGTCCAATAAACATTACTAAAAGGTCCATCTTTCGATCTCCTCGAGGACCTCATATGAATATTCTAATACATTGTCAGCAAGGATGCTTATGCAGGCAGCCCTTATGCTTTACTTAAAGAGTTCGTCAACCATGGTGTTGTTCGAGCATTGTAGTCAAGTACGCTCGATGCGCTGAGCGGTACGTCGTAAAGTGCCCAAGCGAGATCTGCAGCTCCGCCGCTTCCAATGACGACTGTAGTGCTCTGAATGATCGACTACATTGATCCAGCTAGGAAGTTGGTATAGCAACACATTTCTATTACTCAACGCTCTCCAAGACTGGAAACTGGAGGATATTGTAGCTGAGTGAGTAGAGCTCTTTCCTCTCTCATGATGCTGATGTTACCGCAGTGGTATAAGGTCCTGCTCATGCATATCCCATGCCTCCAGCCTGCAAGTCTTCCTGTGGTTCGCCGACAAACCTACGTGTAGTCAAGTGTGCCCAGTATTACATGTAAGGATAACTGGAGTGTTACCACTAAGTATGATATTGTGCACTGCATTAATCAAGCAATGTCCACTTCTTAAGTTAGCAAGTTTGTAACAGGAATCCGTGATCTGCCTAAGCGACTTGACTGCTAAGGTTAGCATTAAAAACTTGCCGCTAAATTAGCGATATCAGCGAGCAAAATTGCTTCAATATCTGGTGACTATCCCATGGCGTCATAAAAGGAATTTACTGGCTATTCACGGCATTAAATTCTAAGTAAAATGACTGACATGTAAGAAAGAAATCTGTATAAGTTGAGGCATTTTTAGGGGAGGATGATATGCAAACTATGGACCTAGGTTAAAGCATCATTCACATAGGTGTTTACAGTTGATTTTATTCGAAACGGGCCAATTGAATAGGTGCTGATACTTAGGCATTGCCAAGTGGTATTTTATGTCTGCCACGGCATAAAAATTTCCGGTTTGGATTACCTGCTAAGCATCACTTTTTTGTGGCTACTTTTGCAAAAGAATCCTGAAAAAAGTATCCTACTTTTGCTTATCCACTCCTGATTGATTACGCTAGTTTGCATTAGTTGGACTTTAAATGCCTATGAACCACACCAAGTCGATCGCGCCAACTTGCACTCATTCTAGATAGGAGTGAAAATGCAGCCAAGGGAGTCGATTAAACGGTAAGTGAAAAGAATGCGGACATGCGTTCGTAACATGCTCCTCATTGCTAACTAATCCACATTTATCGGTCGATAAAGGAGTCTGTTCTGGTCTCGTAGCGTATTGGTTATCTGTTCGAAAGGTCCACAAGAACCTCGGCACACACTCTGTAAATAATTACATTACCAGAAGAGGCGCTAAAGCCACATTAGTTTACAACTTTTCGCAACTTTCCTGACAATCTTCAAATTTGGATGCGCAGTTGAGAGAAGGTCCTCCTTTGCAGGTGTCTGCATCGATGAGTACTTAGCATTTAAGTAGCAGTGAAGCCCCATTTAATTTGGCACATCGATCAAGTTCTACCGAGTTTAGTTTGATGTTGTTCCGTATAAAGTGTTGTGGACTTTGCTAACATTGGGTACTGACGCCACGACCATGGTAGTTAAATGGGCCCAATTGAGGTGCGTGGCACTACCTCAAGTACATGTAAATTTCAACAAGCAAAGCGCTTGTGTTTAAGTTGATTCACAGTGGCTGTTGTAGCCTTAGGCAGTGCAAAACCAATGGCTATCTCTCAATTTCTCCCCACCTGAGATTAACAAAGGAAAAAACTTCAAAGTCAGCAGATGGATCGCCGACTCCGACACTAACAAATGTCTCATTTGAAGTATAGTTTTATCCTAGTGGGCGTTTCGTGAGTTCTCGATTATATTGCAATGGCCGAGACTAGGAAATGACCAAGACGTGCAAATTTTCCGTGCAGGTCTTCAATGCCTGCGGTCTCTGCTACCTCCGTTTTGGCTTATCAGGTCTATCATGTGTTAGCTGTAAATATCCTTTTATGCTGCTCTTGCCGGAAAGACTTGACACGCTACGCATACACTTTTATGGAGGTGTATTCTGAAGTGAACTAATTTCCTGTTGCCTATTTCGTCCTCCCGACTGTCACTTTGTAACACTTCCGCGCCAGACTCATTTACTTCCCTTTCCAGATTTAAGATCGTTGTTCTCCTAGCTCCAAAATGTGGATTTCCTAAAGTGCAGATTAACCTTTACAAATATATACTCAAATCCGTCTTTGAAGCATTCATCCTTCTTTATTCATTTTAATGCTCAAAAAATTGCCTCGGCAGCATAGGGAGCTGGTCATTTCCAATGCTATTTGAGTATGCCCACTTGGCTACCTCACGTTAAAATCAAGTCTTGCAATTTGTTTTACAAACAGTCATACACAAAGTCAAATTCAACCGAAGAAGGTACAGTTAGTTTTCAATCCATAACAAAATTAAATACCTTTACCACTGCCTCCTGCCATTTGACTGCTACACACTCAAACAATTATCCAACTACCTAATTCCTTCAGAGGAGCAAAACTAAGAGCAAAAGACATTTTTCAGTGATTGTGCTACCCTCTAAACCATGACCGAAGGAATGCTGAGTCCGCAAAGATATTGGATACCACCGTGAACGCAAAGACCAACTGTGAGGTCAAACCAAATAGAAAAGAATCTAATTTATCCTTCAAAAACTGCCATGAAAATATTGATATACATTTTTAGCTTTTTCTTTGAGTTAAGCACTTCACAAAAGGAGATTAGCAAACGGAATGTACACACTACGGGGCATCATTCATCCTTTAGCAACAATGTCCAAATGAAGGAAAGCTGGCCGAAGAAAAGAGGAATTTTATTCAAATATCGTAATCGAATCCATAGTACGCGCAGGTATCACTCCTCCGGATGTGGTTTTAGTAACATTATCCTCGCTTGCCTCCAGACTAATCACAAATCAGTGAAGAACTCGCGACAGTTAAGCGGAAGTTTGACCACATGCAAAGCTCCAATAACGATAAAAAACTACATTTGTTTATGTTGTAAATTTCACTACACGAACACTTTCAAAATCTAACAATTCAGCTATTGCACTGATGGCATTTAAGCATACACTACCAGTTTCTCAGAGCTTCTGCATACTTAATATAAGGTCTATGCTCATTATTTAAAGGCATTGCTTCAACTTGAGTAG